GCAAGCTTGGCAACATAGCAAAGGCTAGTCAGAACCTGATGAAGTCCAAAGTGACTGACCCTGCAGACAAAAGCCAAATCTAGGTCTGAGGTCAGTCGGTCTAATTCCCTTATCCTGCTTAATGTACCGGTGTGCAATGATAGCTTGCTTCAACAACAGGCCCTGTTTGATCAGGAGCAGGTCCACATCATAACTCCTATAGGAAGAAGTGACCATGCAGTCGTGGGATTCCATCTTTTTCTCCTTTAGCACTTGCAGTGGGTCATTATGCGACTATGTATGTGTTACAGCAAGGGGGACTATGCTGAAATGCGAAGGCTCTTGTCCGACGCAGACTGGCCCTTAGCATGGGATGAGTTATCTGTGGATGAACACTGGGAAGTGGTAAAAAAGATTATTCATACTGCAATCTCGGATACCGTCGCTTTAGTCACAACACGGCTCAAAAGAAAGTCATCATGGCTGAAAACAGGCACGCAACGTATTCTGCAAGCAAAGCGGAAGGCTTGGTTTACGTGGTGCGACCACGACGCATACCTGGAACTGAGGAACCGGTGCAACGCGAGAGTCAGGAGTGATAGGAGGTCATTCCAGGCTAACCTTGTCAAAATATCTCACTAGTCTGGAGATGGCGGAAACATTCAGTTTAGCTTTCGCCAAACAGTTAAACAGCAATGTGGGTATTACTGTTACGGACCAGAATGGCGACATTACTATTTCACCGGAGGAAGATCTGGTGGCTACTCCCAAAATAAACCCGACAATAGTACTAAGGAAGCTACAGCGACTCACACCTGGGAAGTCCCCAGGTTGTGAAGACATCAGGCCATTTGTTCTGAAACACCAAAGCTCTCTGTAGGCCCTTATGTGGCTTGTTCCAACACTTGATGGATTCGGGGAAACTGCCAAGGGAGTGAAAAAGAGCCCTCCTTTCTCCGATCTTCAAGGGTGGGGATAGGCAAAATACCATTAGTTATCGACCAGTAGCTCTACTCCCAGTGGTATCAAAACTACCGGGAAGCATTATTGACGATCACATTAGGGATTACCCCGATGGGTCTAATATACACCATGAAGCCCAACACAGTTTCAGGAAAGACAGATTCTGTGTAACGAACCTGCTATCAGCTTGGGACGATTGAACGTCATGCTTGGATATGAATGTTCCAGTACATGTGGTCTCCCTAGACTTTGAGAAGGCATTTGACACAATTCACCATGGCTTTCTCGTAAACAAAATAGGCCTGGCAGGTACATGTAAGCCAATTCTGTCATGGTTGAAGGACTACCTAACTGAAAGGAAATTTTGAACTAAGGTCAGTCGAGTTATCTTGGCATGGCTAGTCATCAGGATTGTCACAGGGTTCTATCCTAGGACCCCTGATGTTTTTGATTTTTATCAATGACCAACCATGCCGTCTAAGCTGCTCGACTCTTCTGTACGCTGACGACGTGAAGATATGGAGAGCAATAAAGTGTTCAGAAGACCCAGATAGGCTGCGGGCAGATCTAAAGCTTCTGGAAGACTGGGAGTGGCTAGTGGTGTGACTTTCAACTTGAATAAAGTGCAAAGTGATGAAATTACGCACCTGTAGACAGCAGAAAACACTACGTGGCACCACTGAAGACCACTGGAACTCTCTGAAGGTAATTTTCAACGAAACGTGTTCAACGGTTTTATGAAGAAAGAAGAAACAAGACAAGGAATGGCTCTCAACGGACACTTGGAAACTAATAGAGGAGAGGAAAATGGTGAAAGAAAAAATGATTCAATGCAAAGATGGACAAGAGAAAGAGACACTGAACTCAACTTACACAGCACTGGACAAAGAAGTGAAGAAGAGTGCCAGGAAGGACAAAAGACAATTCTACGACAACCTGGCTACTGAAGCTGAGAAGGCAGCAGGCAAAAGGGACCTGAGGACACTATATCAGATAACCAAGTCTCTATCCGGGAAGAGATCAACACAAGTGAAACCGATAAGATGACAGCCAAGGGAACCCAATTACCAAAGAAGAAAGACAGATTAAACAATGGGCGGATCACTTCAAAGGACTCTTGAATCGACCACCACCTACAACCCGTCCAGTAATACCAACAACAGCACGTACACAACTGCAAGTTGACACCAATCCTCCAACGAAAACTGAAGTCATGAATGCAATCAAGCTTCTGAAAGCTGGAAAAGCAGCTGGACCAGATGGAATACCCCCGGAAGCACTGAAAGCGGACCCAGAAACGACAGCAGATATGCTGACTCCATTATTGCAAAAGATCTGGAAAGAGGGAAAGGTGCCTACCGACTGGAGGAAAGGCTACCTGGTGAAACTACCAAAGAAGGGCGACCTAGGACTCTGCAAGAACTGGCGAGGAATCATGCTCCTGTCGACGCCAAGTAAAATCCTGAGTCGCATCATCCTGGAGAGAATCAAGGACGCACTGGATACAGAACTTAAACCAGAACAAGCTGGATTCAGGAAAGGCAAATCATGTTCTGACCAAATTGCAACTCTACGCATTATCATCGAACAAAGCATGGAATGGCAATCAAATCTCTACCTCAACTTCATAGACTTTGAGAAGGCCTTCGACAGCGTTGACCGCGAAGTAATTTGGAAACTGCTCGAATTTTTTGGAGTACCACAAATATTCATCAACCTTATTCAACAGCTGTACGACAACGGCACATGTCAAGTGATCCACAACGGAAAACTCAGCGAGGAGTCTGGAGTAAACACAGGAGTCAGACAAGGGTGCTTATTATCGCTAATGATATTCCTTATTGTGGTGGACTGGATTATGCGTCAGACAGTGGGAAACGAGAAGACAGGGATATTCTGGACCGACGTGAAGAACCTAGAAGACCTGGATTTCGCGCGTGGATGATTTATGTTTGATGTCACACAAAATGGAAGACTTACAATAGAAAACAGACAAACTGGTCGAAGAAGCAGCCGGTGAAGACAGGACTCCAGGTGAACATAGACAAGACGGAGGTTATGAAAATAACCAACCAACCAACAACAACAGCAGCAACATCCAGCGCCAATCACCATCAACGGGAGGGATTTGAAAGAGGTTACTTCATTCACTTATCTAGGGAGCATTGTCTCAACTACAGGAGGAACAGACGAAGATGTCGAATCGAGAATCGGGGAGGCGAGAAACACATTCATCAACCTGAAACCAATCTGGAAATCTTCGTCACTCAGCCTGCATCAACAACAAAATTCGGATTTTCAATACAAACGTCAAGTCAGTCAGTTCTTCTATACGGATCAGAAACTTGGCGGGTCACAAAGAATATTTCCCACAGCTTTTATCAACAACTGTCTTCGCTTTATAACGATTCTCAGACGGCCGGAAAGAATCACCGACAAGAAACTATGGGAAGAAACAAAACATGAATCAATCGCCCAACAAATATGCAGAAGAAAGTGGAGATGGATTGGACACTCGTTGAGGAGGCCGTTGGGTGACATCGCGCGTCAGGCCATAGCTCGAGTGGAACCCGAAAGGGAAGCGGCGAGTGGGACGTTCAAGGGTGACATGGAGGAGATCGTGTGAAGAGGAATTGAAAGAGTATGGATTAACATGGATGCAAGTGAAAAGTACAGCACAAGACAGAAGCAAGTGGAGGCGTGCAGTTGAAGCCCTATGTTCCACTAGGAACCCAAGGGAACAATAATAATAATAGACAGCAGAATGCAACAAAAGCTTGCCCTGTACAACGCTGGAGCGCGATTTCGGTCTTGTTCTAACGGAAAAATGGACACAAGCGGAAATTACACTAGTGGTGTAGCGAGAGTATATGCGGTCATACAGTTTACACATAGACAGTTAGGTGCACTCACTCCTGAGTTCTTTCTGAGGTTGTATAAAACATACATCAGACCACACCTTGAACTGCATAATATCATTGCACCCACACTGCTTCGAAGAGACGCAAATCTCTTGGAAAGAGTCCAAAGACGGGCGACAAAAGTTGTTGGTCTCCGAAATAAACCATATGAAGAAAGGCTAAAGAAATGAGGCCTATTCACACTTAGCTACCGTCGGCTTAGGGGGGATTTGATTACTGCCCACAAGATAACAAATGACCAGAATCACCCAAACAAAGGTATCCTGCCATTGAGTGGGTATGGGCTTTCCCATGAAAACCCCAGAAGGATAGCTCACCAGAGAGCAAGGACCCGGGTGCTCTTCCACTTCTTTTTACTAAGGGTTTACCGTCCCTGAAGCTCCTTACCGGCAGATGTAGCTATGGCGCCGTCTGTGAACACCTTTAAGCGAAGCCTCAAAAATCACGCAGCGACACAAGGACTGCGTCCGAATGGCATATTCCCTTAAACTCCCATACAACATTCAGAGGTAGACAACTAAATTTGTCGTTTTGCTTCTTTACATCATCTCCCCTCTTACTCTCCTGACAACTGCAACTGCTGCACTTACACTTATTAATATTATTGCTGATATTATATACATATATAAATATATATGTTTATATATGTATATACATATTTCAACTTCAAATTTAATTAGCTGTCTGTTTTTACGTTTTATTTGTTTCTTTTTCTATCTATTAGTCTGAATAGCCTACACTAATTATACCTATTATTATTATCTCTTTTCTTTTGACAACGATACAGGAGGACTAACTGATGAAGGGATCGACTCTATTCACAGTAGTAACAAAGTCTTAACACACCGGCTACTACAAAGAAATAATTAATCCCAGCACTACTCCCTTTGGAGTCAACCAAAGCTACGACAGTCGAGTGGCGGGACGAACTACGCAGTTTACGGAAGACCAGGAACCTTTACCTGACAGTCAAGAAGCGAGCACAAAGAAATCAAGTTGGTTTATAATAGCTCGTAAACACGATATTGGATATATTGGAAAAGTATTCTACCTAAGTGATTACGGTTATACATGACACTAAAAGGGAAAGAGAAAAATAAGGAATACTTATCTGCCGAAGAAAGTCACTGAAAAATACCGAAACATGAATGTTCACTTTTTATATTCATAGTACTGATTTTGCTTTCCAAGCTTTGTTTAAAGCTCTCATTTAGCTTGCACTTACCAGGATCATATTTCAATCAAAAAGAATTTACCGTGTGAGGAGTTTCGTACTCTCTAGTATTTCAGATATTGGTAAGGTTGTAATACTGACATACTTATAAATTTTGTCAGAATAAATTGAGTCATAAAGAAATTTTTATCATATTTTTATAACTATGACAAATAACTAGCGCTAAATATTTATCTGTATTATATAGTTGTCTCAGTATGCATGTAAACCATATGTATCCGAGATCTTTGTGTACGTTCGTTTTCCACAGTTAATTTTGGATATCCACAGCCTTTCCAAAACGGAAAGCAGACAATGGCAAGAAAACATTAGGTGTTGTCAATCGACCAGATTGGAAAATCTACACGTGTAGATCTTGTCACTTGGCAGGATACTGCATATGTGAAGCATATGCTAGAATTCGGTGAATCTAGTTTACGCATATTGCTTTCCTAGATTCAAACCTGCAGACAGAGGACCGATAGTAAAATTCAGAATCCCTTTCCTATACAAGCATTCCTGAGTATCATGTTCTTCAATTCATCCCTTATATTGTGGCTTCTTGTGAAACCACCTTCTTTACCTGAGATGAGAATACTAATCTCTTGGCGCTTTAACAAACCATATGAATACATATTCATTAGATTTGATTTCAGTAATTCTCATTCTCATGTGGAATTTGTGGAATGTGAACTTTCTGAATAACAAATGTGTTGGTACACCTTAACAAAATCATCTACTCAGAATCATGATGATGCACTGATTATACATCTGTTATTGTGAAAACGTAAAGACAGTCAAATTAATCACACCGTATGTTATTATCCTACCTCATTTAATAATCTACAAACCTTGAAGTTATTAAAACGTCCGGTGGTCTAATGAAATATTTCAATGAAAACGAAATTTAGATGGGGTTATGCGTTTTATCCTAAGTTACTCAACACTAGACTTTATAGTGTTGAATGTCAAATTTAAAAAGATCCAATTTTCTTTTAGCACTGAGTTTATGAGATCTTCCCTGATGATTACTAAAGAAAGGCCATCATAACATTCTATATTTTAGTTTTTGCTGTTGGCATGATCGATACCAAGATTATAAAAGTATGTATTTATGCTTGATATATCTCGAAGACATAAATCAAGGCATCCATTCATTTTCCATTGATAAAGAATAAATGTGACTCTTGGAAACTCATACACACTTTGACTAAAGCCGTTTGAAAACCTCTTACTGCTAATATATCGAGCCTTTTAAAAAGGACAGAAGTTCATATTTCTTTCGAAAGCTTTTTTGGCCATTATGAGTAAAAAGAAACTGAGCACTTTTCATTTAAACTATCAAGTTAAAATATGACAGCAGCAAGGCATCAGCTCCACCTAAATACACTCATATTTATGTTCTTTAATATGTGTCCTAATGATTATATTGGTAAAATTAGATAAGCCCATTATTTGTAACTTTTCTAAGAAGAATCATATATTACAGGCTCCACTCTGTTAGTCCTCGTAATGTCTGAGATACAGGTGAATAGTCTACTATGGACTGTTACACTGCGATAAGTGGTCGTTCGTCTAGGAAGAACACTGAAACTCCGAAACAATCAATGGCTCTTTGTGATAATATGGTGTTTGTGTGTGTATGGGAATCGTAAAATTGTAAGCCTACCTTTGGCAGTGTCTAGAATACTGGCTGAATGCTTGCGAACTCTTTTAGAAGCATGAGAAACTGAGTTCGTTAAAGAAAATCGAGCCTTACTTATTTCATTGATGAAAATGGAAAGCAGTGCAGTTTACTAAATACTGTGTAATCTTTATGGCTTGGTGTAAAGGTCAATCATGACCAGTCAGGTTAACAAATCATATCAACTTTGATAAATCCAGAATAGTAGAAACTCCATCAAGATAAGCGATGTAAGAAAATTACTACTACACTGTAGTGCACCCACTAACATACACTATTTATAGAGTAATAATATTAAATGCGAGGATAGACGGGCCGATTACTGACTTTTTGTCAGTCGAACCCACAGTCAATGCATACACCAGCAAAACTTTAACCCAAATACTTAGTGAAGAGCTCTAAATCAACTGAAGGCGAGGAATAAAGCCTGTACAAGACAAACTACAGGCGTGTTTAAAGTTTTATTGCATAAGTAGTGCTGTTTATTTGTAGGCCAACTTTAATTTGTTTCTATAAAGTCTTGAGTGCGCAATGAGCTGTTGGAGGGACATCTCTTCCGAATGCTATCTAACATCTCGACTGCTGACATGATAATTGGTCAAACAAACTGACTGCTTAAAACTACTCATTTACGGTTTAAAATACATGGGAATTCAATAAGTTCACATGACTCACTATTATTCTTAGACTTTCCTATCGGTAGCATTCCGGGAATCATAGATGTAAAATGGTGCACATCTCCTTTTCGAATAACCATTAAGTTTAGGTATGTATGCCATAACCTAAACTTGGTCAGTTCCTCACTTAAGTCTGAGGCTCTGTATGTTGTTTTTTACCGTCAGCACTAGCTACATTTACTGATATTGGCAGTAGCATTTTTTCACACATTTAATTGTCAGTGGCCAGCTTACTGGTTAGTTCAAGACATTGAGGATTACAGCTGAGAACTTAACAAAATCACCGAATTTATGGAGTCACACTGCTATTGCAAAACGTCCAGGAAAAAGTACCAAAAGTTCGTAAGCCAGCTAATAAAAAGTCTACCTCAGTGAGTTAGTTGAATTCATTGGTAGCCTTACTTCATCGCTTTTCAACTATAACCCTCTTTATCTTACGTAATCATTTCAGTAATGTTAATACTGACCGACTGAGATTTCACTGTAGAACTTTACACAGGAGTGCAGCAGTCGAATTTGTTGCACTCCATACAACACACAATGATAGAGAAGAAGAATTTCAAACAACCGTTACGCACTGCAGAGGACGCGAGGAAGAATATTGGATTTCGAAAATAGCAAAGAGTTAATTCCATATTAGTTTGTTTATTAGATATATCACACAGTGAAACAGTATTATTTAATGGATGACGAAGTTTCGAAAACAGTTTATTACTGTTCATAATCATATCACCAATTATAATCACACTTCTTCGAAACTTGAGTTTTAGAGTTTTCTTTGTCCTCTCCTACCTGTCGTCGTAGGTGTGGTAGTAGAATTTTCCAGATGTTTGGGTGGACAGGTGTTGAATCATTCCTATTACACGTGTCTGCAATTGACTAGACAAACAAAGCTTCTGTTATCAATCTCTCCCTCCACCCTGTTACATTAGATTTTAAAACTGTCATCTTATCACATTCTATTGTATGGTTGTGTGTAATTGCATGTAGTGCTATAGCTGAACTATTCTCCAGATTTCTTATCTTATTCGGGTCAACTAATCTAGATTTTGCTAGGATTTTGTGCTCGGCTAGCCTGACTGTACCTTTTCTACTAGTTTTACCTATGTATTTGACCTGACAATCATTGCAGGCGAGGTATTAGATAAACTAAATTGTTTTGTTTTAAAGGCTCCACAGGATCCTTTAACAGACAGAGCTTATTTCTAATTGAGTTTGTGGGTTTGGATGTCAGCCACTTTTATTCCTGCCTTGTTAAGAATTCTGCGTAAGGTTTCCGAGGTTCCTTACCTGAATCGAAGTACTACTGATGGTTTATATTCCTTATTGTTGATGTTGTCATTATCCTGTCGTCATTAATATTACCATTATTATTATTATCACTATCACTACTATCATTATTGAATTTATTTTTAAATTTCCCCAAATACTTTCTGACTATTTTATCAGAGTAATTATTAAGTTTCAAAGCTTCTCCTCTTATATGTTTCACCTCCTGTCTTAGATTTTCCTTGGTTCTACATAGTTTTTCTGCTCTTTTACTTAAACATTTCTCCAATCTTATTTTCACTGACAGGGTGGAATGATCGGAAATCCAAATATCTGTTTGAATGTGTGGGTTTCCTGTAAATGCTAATGTTTAAATTCCCAACTTATCTCTTTTTACGCTACAACCTAACATTGGAAGCTCCCCCTCCTTCCTGACTTTCCAATTCATAAGTGCATTGAATTGCCTCCACTTTTGAGTTAATATGTTCGAATAATCTGTCTATATCCTGTGTTCTAAGTACAGTGAATGTGTCATCTACATACCCCCACCATACTTTTGGGGTGGGGCTGAAGGTTTCAATCGCTATGTTTTCCCACCTATCCATGAAAACATCTGCCACAACCGGGGATATTAGTGATCCCATGTCAACTCCCTCAGTTTGTTTATATATCTTCCCCTGGAATTTAAATACAGTGAAAGTCAGGCATAGCTGCACTCCCAGCATTATGTCCTCAAGTGGCACTTTCGTCCTAAGTTCGAGTTCTTGGTCAGAAATGAGTTCGTTTCTGACTGCCCCTATAGCCACATTTATTGGTATACGTGTATTATTATTATTATTATAATATTATCATTATTATTACTGTTTAGTGAATACATCTGCTCCTTTGAGAACAGTGTTTTAACTCCATTATGAAGAGTTTCCAACCACTGATTCTTAAAGTCTCGAAGACGCTAACCAGGCAATGTAAACCTCTCTAAATGGCTCAAAGCAACAGTCAAAGACATTATGGATTGATGCCAGGTTTGAACTACCTCTAACTCTTTTCCAACGGGATTGTATGTCAGCAATTATTGCATGTCAAGGAAGGCGACGGCTTGGCATGCTCAATACTTGTTCTAACCATATCGATCGGTTTAGATTCACAAGCTTATCGACTATCTTACCCTCCTTACCTAGCACTCTACGCCTAACTTCAATATTGCTCATCATATTATACGCTTGATCGAAACACCTGTGTTCAGAGACAGATTAATTAACTACTTTCAGTAACATTGAACAAACCGACTGTAACTATGATGCTTTTTCTTGTTGTTGTTTTTTTATCAGAGACAGTATGGATAATCTCCTTCCTAGAGGTGATCCTCGAGTAGAAAATTGGCCATTAATGCATAGCCCAATGCCTGTGCTGCTAATTCTTTCACTATATTGGGCTTTTGTTCTTTGGCTTGGTCCAAAAATTATGAAAAATCAGTCTACAGGATTTCATCTACGTCCACTTATGGTTATTTACAATGCTGTTATGGTGGCATTTTCATTTTGGCTGGTGTATGAATTCGCTGTATCAGGTTGGCTGACTGGTTATACATTTGGCTGTCAACTGGTCGATCGTTCAACAAGACCAAAAGCTATGCGTATGGCTAATGTTTGCTGGTTCTACTTTATTACCAAGCTTATTGAATTATTTGATACTGTATTGTTTATTCTTCGAAAGAAATTTGAATTAGTCAGCTTTCTTCATGTATTCCATCATTCAATGATGCCTATATCTTGGTGGTTTGGTGTAAAGTATGTTCCAGGTAAGAATCATTGTACTTTGAAATAATAGAGAAAAGATTTGTAGCTCAGGTGGATGATTTGCAATTAGCAGTGTTCTCTGAGCTGGTTGGTTTAGTTGCGGAGCTTTCGTCGACCTCCCTGCTGGACAACATCTTAAAGTCGAGTGAAAACACCAACAAGAAACCATCATCAAAGAGCACAAGAAAATTCATCTTACCATACATGAGAAATATCTCTGAAATAACAGCTGGAATATTGAAACCGTTTGACATAGATATAGCACACAAGCCACGACAATCACTTCATTGGACGTTGTGCAAACCAACAGAAAAAGAAGATAAAATTAACACCATTTACAAAATAAATTGCATTTATGAACTATAACAGACATTACATCGGTCAAAGTGGGCGTCTCCTTCGAATCAGAATCCAAGAACACAAATCAGCAGTGAAAAGACACGATATATATTCTTTAGTATCAATGCATATAGACAATTATGGACATTAATTTGATGATTGGGATAATGTCGAAATTTTAGACAGAGGAAACACTAAAAGTGTAGTCAGGGAATTCCTAGAAGCCTGGTACTCAAACGAATATACAATTAACAAACATGTTAATATAGACCAAATATACCAAATAATAGAAAGTAAATCATCACATGACAAGAAAGTTTGAAATGCAAGTCAATAGAAAATGGTCAATACATATGTAAAGGTGGTTACCAGGAGACGTAATTCTATCACTCATGAAGAAATTTCAATCAGTTCACTTTCTGCTAAAAATTGCGCTGAAGGAGGATGCTGTCCAGCAGGGGGGGGGGGGACGACGAAAGCTCCGCAACCAAACCAACCAGCTCAGAGAACACTATTAATTACAAATCATTGTACTTTGTATTAAATATTTCTATTATTTGTTTTTCTATGTATGTAAAGACAAGGTTGCATATTCGATCTGTGCAATGTTATACTATGTACCACAAGAACCACTGATAGTCAACCTGTCAACATCCTATTGTCGAAAAGTCGGCAGAAGGTAGTGGAGATGACATCATACTCCACGCTGTCGAGCGGAACCTCAGTTGAGAAGTGACAAGTTATAGAGAGGAAAAATACAAACAAACAAGAAATTCAGCAAACAGACATCTTTTCAGCGATTTGATCCTCAAAGCTCTACAACTGCATTTGTTTACATAAGTTTACATAGTTACAGTTATATAATTTAATTCAGCATAATGAAAAATGGAGATTAAAAGAGAGGTGGTAATTTTCAACTTGATCTGAAAGTCTGAAGGTGTGAACAAAGATTGACTGACTGACTGGTTTCAACGTAGAACTTTGTAGAGATGTACAGCAGTTTGAGTTGTCACACTCCCTCCATATAGTGCACAAAGCACAAGAATGGAGAGATAATAAACAGAAATATGAGGTAGAAAGCGTAGTAATACGGAAGAACAATAGAATTTTATTAGATATTATAAATCACAAAGAGAACGATTTTGAGCCATATCACCGATTGTCTCCAGCCTTCATTGGTTTTCGCTATCCCGAGGACCCCAGCCACGAAGTCTACACCATTCTATGTGGCTTAAACTCACTCTTCTGGATCCCATCGACTGATGAGGCCATGTTTTGGTTTGACCATCAGTGGCTCTTTCCCAACCTGATCCATCCTGTGTCCGGTAACATTGTCCGTTGGTGAAGGAAGGCGATGGCTAGCGATGCATGCGTAACACATGTCCTAACCAACTCTCTTAATCGGTGTAACTTCACAACCTTGTCGGTCGATTTCCCCTCCTTAGTGATCACTCGACCGACGCCTAACCTCAATATTGCTCACCTTATAAAGATTATAAGGAGGATAGAAACAGAATTGCATAGGTTTAGGAAATAGTTGTGTAATAAATGAAGTAGTTGTTAATGAAGACGGCTATAAACGGAATGTGCACAGTAACAGATTGAAATAATAATAGTTTTTATAACTTAAGGTGAAAAAAATGAAGGGAATGCTGAAAAGACAAAAACAAATGAAAAGTAAAATAGTCAAGCCAAACTAGATCCATGGTAAATGCAGCAGTTAGACTAGTTTCTTTTGAAGACACCATAGCTCCAAGCTTACAATATATGTGGCAAAGGATTCTGCAGCCCAAAGAACTCGGAAGCACACAGCCTCTGGCAGACTTTTATTCACTTCTGTAAATAACTCCGATTGATGAGTCAGTCAGTTGAGACGCTGTAACTGGTGCTGACGAGTTGTTCAATTATAGTGCTTATGATTGAACCAGTACCTCTTTTTTGCATCCATACTGATTAGTATCCTCTTGTAAATTTTGAAAGGACGCGCACATATAGAACGATAGATGCTCATACATCCTCAAGAGGAAGTGAATTGATATATGCACACTGAAGTGGTCATATGCAAGAATCTGTTCTTCGAGTTGATTAGAAGCAATAGGAGGCTAGAGAATATCACTCTTTGTGTTGATACAGGAAGTGTCTTCTTTAGGAAACTAGAGATTTTACTCTTTAGGGCATCTGATGCTAACTCTCCCCCCCCCCCGAAGTCCAGGTTCATATGTATGTATACATACATATAGAGTACTTTCTTTGAGGTTGAACTGCATTCTTCACTTTTTGGCTTCGATTTCATGTCCTTCTCCACGAAGCATTCTGGGTATCCATTTTCATCTAGGAAACTTATTTTTGAAAATTAAGAACCCTTCTTCTAAGTAGTCAATACTGCAGATTCTTCTGATACGGTGAGCGTCATGCTGAAATAAATAATAATTGTAGCTACGTAGAGTTATGCAGATAAATTCGACTGTACAGCTTTGAGGTTGAAGTCGCCAAAAAGACATCTCTTTGTTGAGCTTCTTGTTCCTTTCCCTCTAATGTTCTGATGGGTATTTCTTTCGATTTGGAAAAGCCACAAATCGCCCGTAGGTAACATGGAAGAGATCATAGAAGGTGGGAATGTGAAAGCTTTTGTGAAGTTGTGGAGCCAGTTGATAGCGATGACAGAGAACCAAGCGGAAGAGAGTAGATGTAATGCTGAAGCTTTATGCTCCATTTAGAACACAAGAAAAGAATATTAATAGTAATATGAGGTCAACTGGTGACTGGCAGTGGAATCCAGCTTGATGCGCATTTTGTCCTATTTGGGACTCGTCAGCCAGTGGATGTACCTGCATTCCCCAGTCAGTAAATGATGATGTTCCCACTGAGGCTCGAAACCGGTGACCATAGTTTCAAACGCCAAAGCGTTATCCACTAGACTACTTGGGGCCTTATTAATTATTTAATTCAACTTAGATTTACCTGTCGATTGATTGGACAGAAGTGCTCGAACTCAGGTTGACATGATGGCTCCTTTTGCAGATGCTTCGATGATGTCTGATCATGTAACTTGAAGTCAATTGGTGGATGGTGACTAGCAGTGGAATTCAGGATGCGCATTTTGTCCCATCCGGCACTCGTCATCGGATGTACCAGACATCGTCGAAGCATTCATACAAGGAGCCGACATGTCAACCTGAGACTGCGGACTTCGATCCAATCAATAGACGGTTAAATCTAAATTGAATTAACAAGTAATAATGCCATATTTGAGCGCTATACTTTCAATCTAACAAATTCATCACTATGAACATCTTCAAGTATTGGTTTGTAGATATTTGATTGATTGGTTACAGGGTTTCATCATGCACTGACATTGATTAGAGAACCATTGGAAAACCTGGGAGTACTGGACAGCTATTTCGTCCTAGTTTAGGACTCTTCACAGTACACATCCACCACGGGGCTTCGAACCCAGGACCTTCTGGTTACAAGGTGAGCTAGTTCCTAGACCATTAAGCCACTGGGACCTTATCCAATAACCAGTCTATGAATTCTAACCAGAAGGTCCTGGGTTCGAACCCCTGTGGTCGGTGCGTGCTGTCAATGATTTCCAAAACTAGGACGAAACAGCTGTCTAGTACTCTCAGGTTTTCTAATGGTTCTCTAACCAATGTCAGCTCATAATGAAATCCTGTAACTATGATCATCTGTTTATGTTTGATTTAAATCGGTTAAATGTGTATATTTTTTTAATGTGATCGATTACCAAGTTGGCAAATATTATTTTGAATTACTTTTGAGTTAGAATAACGTGCAATAATGAAATTCGTATTCAATATAACATTTATTGGCTTTATTTTTCTCTGTTTTCAGGTGGTATAGGAACTTTCCATGCATTTTTAAATAGTATTATTCATTTCTTCATGTACACCTATTATGGTTTGGCTGCAGCTGGGCCTCGTTTTCAACGTTATCTATGGTGGAAAAAGTAGGTTTAACATTAATGAAATTATTTTTTTTTCTAGTTGTCTATATCAGGTGTTGTTTTTTTAAAAATTTGATTCTGCGCAGTCACTAATCTAACTCAACTTTCAAAAGCACTGCCTGACGCCTTTCAAAATGTTATTTGCTTAGCTGAATTGTCTTCAAATTATTATTATTATTACTGTTACTGTTCCCTTGGGTTCCGAGTGGAACATAGGACTTCAACGAGAACAAATCTCCACTTCGTTCTGTTTTCTGCTGTCTTCAGCTGGGCCCACGAGGGCCCATAACCTCTCATCTCCTCCTTCCCAAACGGTCTTCTCCATGTCACCCTCGCACCGACAACCCACTCGTTGCCTTCCACTGGGATTCCTATCGAGCAAGGACCTGGCTGGTGCGTGATGTCTTTCGATCGCCTACCCCATAACGTGTGCCGCCATCCGCACTTTCTCCTACATATTTGTTAAGGGATCGGCTCTCACCTGTTGGCTTGTTCCCAGCCAGAGTTTCTTGTTTGCTAATTCGGCCAGCCATTTGATATTCACTATGGAGCCAGAGATGTGGGAAGTTAGTGATAAAAGTCTGTAACTTGTTGGAAATCCTTTTCGTGACTCATGTGTAGTGCAAGTTTCTGACCCATATAGAAGAAGTGACTGACTTCACATTTGTATTGAAAACCCGAATCTTCATAATGAGTGCAGGAGGTTCCGTAGTTCTATACTCCACATTGTTTTCTTTTCTCATTACGCCATAACCGCATCGCAAGAGTATTGGTATAGTTGTGCTGGCTAATCTGAGTGGTTTAATTACAATCGTCTTTCATTGTCCTTCAATATGAAATTAGCCCTGAAGATGTGTTACCCAGAAAGGCAATGAAGGCTTCACAATTTCAACCATCTAACTCAAAGAGCACAACTAGACTAGTATCATCCACCTGAGTTACAAATCTTTCCTATCATTTCCATATCATAATTCCACATATAACCAAGTATAGCTCATAGCCTAGTTCGAATACTCACCAGTACTAAGTAACTGAGTCAGTCTTATACTCACTGGTGACGGACTACAGAAAGAGATTTCTTGAAGTTCCGGTAAGAAGTCGTGATTAGTAGTGTCTACCAGGTCAGGTGTGAAGACAAATACTCACCGATGACAGTGGATGGCACTGGCGCTAAACAATCGCAAAGTGATGGAAGTTAGAGTTTCAGGGTAGTCGGATTCTTTCCCAGTGGCTGAATGGTCAATGGGCTCACCTCGTAGGCTGGAGGTTCTTGTTACGATGCCCGGTTGAGTCATGGTCGAGCAGTGATGGAAACTGCCGAACAAAGACGGAATAAGCGTTCAGTAATTCGCGGTTTTCAAATATTCTCTCCAACTGATATTAATCCGTGATCAAAGTTGAAACGAATCAAATCCCTGCAGATTAACACTTAACTGGCTGTTTTATCAAGATTGATTAATGTTTCTTTCGAAAATAATTTCATCAGAATGCAGACTATGTGTTGATTTAGTTCCCCTACTGCGGTATGTAGAATTCTGTGGTTGCTTAATTCGTGTGTTCATTCCAGACCCTTGATAGTGTTTAATCAATTCTAGGGATCGACTGTAGCACTTGACTTTCAGCCAGCTACTTCAATCCTGGAGAGCTGGGTAGTAAGTATTGTCAGTCTAGCAAGTGACGAACTCGTTTCAGACGACTGATTACTAGATAGATAAAAAATACCCCCGGGAATCATGACTGCAGCAGATAGTTATCAACAGAAGGCCTAGAACTGCTGCTGCTTGGCGATTCCAGTTGACATATGTAGCACCTTCACAACAGCATAAGAAGAATAAATGATGAGTAAGTGAGAAAAGTATTACAAACAATGTCATAAGACAGAACAAGAAGACACAGATTTAAGCAACCAAGTTGAGTACTTTTGCAACTGTTGGGGAAAATAAATAAATAAATACTTCTGTACCAATGCTACCTGGTGCTGTGCTGTACCACTCACGGTCTCCAGTCCTCGGTTTCAACTGTCCCAGCAGGTCGAGAGTTAGTCAAATTGCATTTCGATAAGCTGCTCTGACCAACATTCATGTTTTGGCGTAATGTGTTATTACAACGACAACCTCTAGCATCATCATTATTATATAATCCTATGTCATATGAATTTTAAGCGTGATCAACGAGAGCCAGTGAAAGCCAGGGAGTTCTGGACAGCATCCATGGACTAGTAGGGGGTCGAACCCAGAACCTTTAGGTTACGAGGCAAGCTCATTGAATATATATATAGTCGGTGGGACGTAATCCGATGGCTTGGGAAACTCTAAGTCTTGAAAATTCTCGATAATGAATTTGCCTATTTATTATGTGGAGCGACTTTGCAAGAATAGTTCGACTGTCCTAATTACTTTAGTATAGTCACCAGCATTATTGATATGAGTATAAAACTTGGCAACTGTGGTAGAGTATAACTCCATTATATATAAGATTTTATTTTGACAAATCACACAGTGTTGTTATACAGTAATAATAACAGATGACCTTTCGAGCACAATTTATTACTACTGCTCATAATCATGTCAAGTCACTCACACAACTTTCTTGCTTCATTTATATACAAGAGGAAAAATTGATGATTAGACATTGAATAAAATTCAATATCGGATAATGTACATTCAGAAATAATAATGTGAGTGTTATTGGTCAATTAAAATCAGATGGGAAATAAAACGAGTGTTTCTATAGTCATAATAAGTAACTTGTTGGAATGTTTTGATGTGTTTGAATTGAAATAGAATATTAAGATTATTTATTATCCTCCTCTGATCTGACTGGCGATAATAATATCCTCCATATTTCTGGTATTTACATTGAGTCACTTCTATTGCATGCGTTACGTGTAAACTGTTCGATGAACCAGGATTCAGTAATCAACCACTCTCTCCCTCCACCAACCTATATCACTTTTTAGAATTTTGGCTCTGTCCCTTATAGACCATTATGTGGTTATGTGCTAATACATACAGTCAGATTGCTGAGCTCCTTTTTCTAAATTGCTTATCTTCGCGGGTGCGGTCAATCATTCTAACCTTAGCTAAATGCTTATCTTCCGACAATCTGACTGCTCCTGATCTTTTAGTTTGACCTATGTAGTTGACTAAATTAACAGTCACTGGAAGGTATTTTGTAAATTATATTATTTTGTTTAATTGGGTCAACCTACAGGGTCCTTTAGCTTACAGAGCTTGTCGCTGAGTGAGTGAGTTTGTAGGTTTGAATGCCACCAAACTAATTCCTGCTTTATTGAGAATCCTACGTGGGGTCTCACATGTCCCCTCCTTATGTGGTAAAACTACTGTAGATGTCTTATATTCTTTCTTATGTTATCATTATTAGCTTCACCGTTATTTTTATTTTGCTTTTTACTTGTCATGATTATGAGCACTAATTTGTGCTCAAAACGTGGTCATCAGTTAGTATTACTGTATAACACTGTGTAATTTATCAAAATGAAATCTTATCCATAATAGTCACGAGCAGTAGAATTTCCCTCAAAATACCGTCTAATAAACAATACCGTGTAACCGGATGCTTTACCATATCAACTTATCTAACTGTAGGACAATCATTTTCGTAATTTTCAGACTATGCTGCACTGCACTACATTCAACTCCAAATAAGCTATGGAATACACTGGATGTGCCAATAACCAGTATAGCATTGCTCTGCTGTCTCCACCACTTCAACGCCTACTATCAGCTCATTAGAGCTTGTATATGAGTTTCATGTTATATGCTCAGATATGCTACTGCAGTATTTATTGCATAAAAAAACAACATAAGATTGAGTTGACTCAATTTTCGCATAATTTCGAACTCATCATTACTTCCTTTTCTTGTTATGTTTCTTTTTCTTTTCTTCCAAACATTTCTTTCTTTTTTTCTAATAGATATATGACTACAGCTCAGATAGTTCAGTTTATCATTGTGATTTTCCATTCCGTGTATACTCTGTCGTTAAGAGACTGTGATTATCCAAAGTTGTTCAACTACTGGATTTTATCGTCTGCATTGATTTTCCTATTTCTGTTCGCTAAATTCTACTCAAAGGTAAGCACTTTTTAAACTGATATACAACACGTATATTATAGTTAGTGGTGATGTTCTCTTTTGCTCGTTTTGCGTGTGTGTATGTGTTTGTGTGGAGTTGACTCTGTCGGCAGTCACTGAATTGTTAGTCCGAAACTAGCCTTCAGCACGGATACAGAAGACTGGTTTCGCATATGCCAGTTTACGCCGTCTCTGGCTTAGTAGACGGGATATCCGGCCGGCCGGCTGTCTACCAAAGGGCGTGTGTACTGCTCAGCAGTCCGCTCCGTCCTCCTTTATGGCTTTGAGATATGATGGCCACTGAAAGTGGAAGATATGAAAAGTATAACTAGCTGTCTTTGGTCATAGGTGCCTGCATTTTATCCCCCATGTGAAATGGTATAATAGAGTAAGCAATATTGAGGTTAGGCATCTGTCGAGTGATGGGTAGGTGAGAGGTAAAATCAATAGACCAGGTTGTGAAGTTGCATCGATTGAGAGAAATGGTTAGGACATGTGTTACGCATGCATGCTTAGCCATCCATCGCTTTCCTCAACAACGGGCAATGTTTGCTGACTGACATAGGATGGATCAGGTTGGGAAAGAGCTAGCACATGGTGGTCAGATCAAAACATGGCTTCATCAGTCAATGAAATCCGCAACAGTTAGTTTAAGCCACGTAGGAAGGTGTATACTCCCTGACTGGTTGGGGTTCTCAGGACAGTAAACACCAATGGCTGGAGACAATTGGTGATATGGATCAAAATCGTTGTCAGTGGCTAGCGCAGATGCACCCACTCCTTGTGACTTATAATTTCCAATAAACTATATTGTTCTTCGATATCACTATTCTTTTTGCCTCATATCTCTGTTTACTGTCTCTAATTTGCGTTTCTTTTTACTTTCTTCTCTGGTTTTCTGTGCTGAGTGAAGTGTGGCGACTCCAACTGCTACACATCTGTGCATAGTTCTATGTTGAAACCGGTCAGTCAATCAGTCCCGACTTCTACCAGCTCAGATGGTAGAGATGCAATTGTTTCACACCAGACCATCGTTTCATTGTAGTCACCGCCCTGCAAAACCTTCCCTTGTTAGTTTAATTATTATTCTTATTATTCCCTTGGTTTCCATTTGGAACACAGGGCTTCAACAGCACATCCCCATTCCATTCCGTTCTCTGCAGTCCTCGTTAGCCGACTCCGCGGCTGCCCATAAGCTCTCGTCTCCTCCTAATACGATCGCCTTCGGGTCACCCTTGGACACCATGCCCAACTCCTTTTTTCTCATATGAGTTCCACTTGAGAGTCTGCCTGGTATGCTAGAATAAAAGCAATAAGAGTGAGGCGAGTGGCATTCAGATGGGAAATATTTCAAACAGAATAGAAGATATAGAAGAATGCATGACGTAATCAAGACTGTATACCTTTGTTTTATAGTCATAACCACGTGGGTAGTGCATGGTTCATCACTGCAACCATATGTATGATTTTAACCATTTGATAGCGATTGGTTCAGCAAAAATGTAACAGGCTAGGTTTGTTTCGCCCAACAGATGGCCCCGCTAATCACTCTTTAGTCTCAGTCATTTTTGGTATATATTGGGAAATGCTAACAATGACCCTTGTCGATGTTCTTCCAATGTATATACTTTGGTAACAACATGTAAACTGGTAGATACAATCTGACGTAACATGTCAAGTTTTGATTGGCCAGAACAACTATTCATTTGATAAAAAACACACGACCTTGAAAATAACATCAGAAATAATCAAAATGAGCTAACATTATCATCCTACTACACCACATTTGTTGTTCTTGTCTTGTTCAGCTTGATTTCAGTATTAACTATCTTCTGCTTATGTCTCCTGTTTTTATTACTGTGCTAAGTATGATTAAATTTCCTTTAAGCTGAAATATTTTGAAGCATACTCTGATTAAACACTAAGTGGCTAAGCCTCTAATGCCTCCAGTGTGCAGTCCTTCGTTTGGTGCAAACGACCGGCCACATTACAAACATAATTGACAGAATTCAGTCTGCACTAAACGAAGGGTTAGACGCATAACATCAGTGACTACCTTGTGTCCAATAATGTATCCATTACAGTCCTACATGAGGTTAATCACGAGCTCGAATAACCAGCTCAGTGGTAACATCTCTGACTGCAGTCTGCATTGGGTGACACTGGTTCGAATCTCAGAAGGGACATGAATTCTTTCAAGATTGCAGATACTCCTTGCTGATGACTGGTGAGTGTCGACAAGCACGAAACCTAGGTGCAAGGCATCTTAATGATTGCCTCTAACCACCAACTGAAAACTTCTGAAGGACTTATATAATCACATTCCCTTTTTTATACCGGCTTATATGATATTTAGGCTGTTGTAGCAGAAGAAAGTCTGTGAATTCACCAAGTGAGCTCATTTTCTATCCTGCCTGCTGATATCTTTGTTTCAAAGGAATCAAAAGAATCGGGGTTGTATGAAAATGTTTAAGTGTTTATTTAATCGCATCATTACACAACATGAAACATGGCTCTTGATCACTCAAGTGGCATACTTTCTAACACTTTTATTATCGAGCTGTTGCTATTCTTCTTCTTTTCTCCTCTGGCTAACCAAGCTGGACAGTGTTCCAGAATACGTTTGTGGACTTGACGTTGCGTACGGCCGGTATACTTTGCTCCACACGAGCAAGTAAATTGATAAATACATACTGAAGTGGCCAAAATCGGTATCTTGTCCATGGCGTTAGACTGGATTAGCTGTCTGCAGGAAAATGTGATACGTGGAGTGGCTGTTGGAAATGTCTTCTTCAGACATTTAGAAAGGCGGTTTCTGAGAATTTCCGCTGCAATACCACCTTTGAATTCTATGTTCATGAAGAGAGTCTTCTTAGGAACCGTTGCGATGTTTGACACCGGAGGCTTCTCCTTCATGTTTTTGTCAATAAATCTTGGTGGATACCCATTCTCTAGTAGGGTTTCACATAATAAATTTAATTTTTTCTCTACCATGTCTTCCGAGCAAATTTTTCTAATCCTTGAACACAATGTGCGTACCAGGTTTCTCTTTCGGATCAGTGGGACAAAGCTCTGGAAGTTGGCTTCCAACAGCCACTCTACGTATCACATTTTCCTGCAGACAGTTAATCCAGTCTAACGCTATGGACAAGATACCGCTTTTGGCCACTTCAGTGTGTATTTATCAATTTACTTGCTCGTGTGGAGCAAAGTGTATCTATCGGCCGTACGCAACGTCAAGTCCATAAAGGTATTTTGGAACACTGCCCCGTTTGGTTAGCCAGAGGAGAAAAGAACTTTTATTATCATCAGGGAGTATCTGGAGCTTTCAGAAATGTCACTTTCAGTCTCATGGATACTCTAATGTGTGTTACTCAGTACTGAAATAAAATATTCAGGTTACGATTAATCTTCTAAGGGACTGATCTCCTTCGATCCTTTGTGTTCCGAATGTAAGATGGGGCTTCAAACCTGAGTTGTGAAGTTTAAGTAGTCGGACAGCAAAACGAGGCAAGGTTGGTCGTGAGGTTAGCAATCCCACTCCGATGTTTTAAGAGTGCACCTGCTGGCAGCTGGGCACAACAGCACGTGTATAGTTGGTGAACATTATACCACGGAACCACCGATACACTAAGGGGTTGATTACGTATACGTATTAATCATCGTTTGATAATCAGTGTAGGTGCTTATCCAGTGTTCGAAGTGTTTCTCCAGCTGTGTACACTGTGGTAATTATGCTTGGTGACATGACATAAAGTAACATGAGTCTTTTGTAAAAAATTATATTTGTAAAATCTCAGAGAAATTGAAATGATTAATTCCATCGTTTCCTGCGTTCGGTTATCTGGTCCGAACTTTTTCAGGGAAATTAACCGAAATTAACATAACAGAGGTTTATATATAAAAAGAAACATCACTTGTTTTTAAAAACTTTGTCCAGTCATGAGTCATTCAACAAGTGTAATAAACAAAATTTTATGAGCTGTGATCAAAATTTGACCTCGGACTTACAAATATTGGTTTACCTTTGTTAAACACTTTAAACAGTGTGTTTGTGTGTGTGTGTGTGTGGGTAAACAGTTGTAAAACAATTTCTTAACGTCTCCATAAGAAGATATGGACAGTCGAGAATTTTGACCAAGTATTAATAATTAGTGATACATATCCATTTTTTATTTATTAATAAGGATTTCCTATGCATCAGCTAACATCACACCTTCATGTCTGTTCAAACTGTTAGTATCTAGAATTTTATGATTAGACGTATTTTCAAAATTATGGTGTTTAGGATTAGAGTTTAGTAGAAGCACCCTGTCGGACTTATTGCTTTGTCTTCTTTCTGAAGATTGAGCTGCTTTATTCAACCTACTGCAGTTGTCAGGTGACTCGACAGCTACGGATTTAGGATATGCATTCTGTTGCAGACAACGGAGAGTGAAAACACGATGATTGTTCCAATTACACAGTTTGTTTGTTAATTTAATTTGATTGCAAAATAATTCAAATGAACTGTCGTCAAGATTTGACAGAATAGTTCACAAATATAATTTTTTACAAATGTCTACTTCTCACTCGGTACCCAAATATTTTAGAACTATTAGGTCAAATCTTGATGACTGTTCATTTGAATAACATGAGTCTCATCGAGATTTGAGATTACATCTTACTGATAATAAGTGCTAACAGACATGGAGGCTAGATCATGTTTATCTTCTTGTCAATTGACGTCTTAATAGACTGAGTGTGCTGTAGTGTGTCATACTATCGCGTCAATTTTTATGACTGTGTCACACATCTAATTAACATTTTTTCATCAATCTTTTATAAAATGTATCCCCTACACACACGTCTTTTGATTAGAACTCAACTGGGTGGGGGAGGTGACGAGTTTGGCGTCTAAGGGTGACATGGAGGAGAGGAAAAGAAAAATTTCCTGAGAAGTGATGAAGTCAGCTGGGAAAAGATGTCACAGAACGGATTGGAATAGGAATGTCCTGCTG